CCCCATAGCACCCATACAGACCCCATAGCACCCCATAACACCCCATAGCACCCCATATCCCCCCACACCCCCCACCTGATCATGGCGGGCGACACGAGCAGCTCGTCCAGCAGCTGTGCCAGCCGTGCCCGCACGGCGCGCCGGTTGTGCAGGCGGACGTTCATGGCCACGCTGTGCTCCTGCAGCGCGCGGATCTCGCAGCTGATGCTGCTCAGGTCGCTCTGGAAGGCGCCCAGCATCTGCTCCATGCGCTGGGGGGCGGGGGGGGACACGGGGGGTCCCACTGAGTGACACTGCTGGGTGCTGCGGCTCCCATTGGGGCCCGTTGCGCCCCATTGCGCCCCATTGGGTCCCATTGTGCCCTATTGGGTCCCACTGGGTCCCATTGTGCCCCACTGGGTCCCATTGCGCCCCATTGACTTCCATTAGATGCCATTGTGCCCCATTGGGTCCCATTGCACCCCATTGACTTTCATTAGATCCCACTGGACCCCATTGTGCCCCATTGCACCCCATTGGGTCCCATTGCACCCCATTGACTTTCATTGCACCCCATTGACTTTCATTAGATCCCATTGGACCCCATTGTGCCCCATTGTGCCCCATTGGGTCCCATTGACTTCCATTAGATGCCATTGTGCCCCATTGGGTCCCATTGCACCCCATTGACTTTCATTGCACCCCATTGACTTTCATTAGATCCCATTGGACCCCATTGTGCCCCATTGGGTCCCATTGACTTTCATTAGATGCCATTGTGCCCCATTGGACCCCATTGCGCCCCATTGGACCCCATTGCACCCCATCGGACCCCATTGTGCCCCATTGAGTTTCATTGGGTCCTATTGTGCCCCATTGCGCCCCATTGGGTCCCATTGTGCCCCACTGGATCCCACTGTGCCCCATAGGACCTCACTGTACCCCATAGAACCCCATTGTTCCCGCCGTGCCCCATCGGATCCCACTGCGCCCCATAGGACCTCACTGCACCCCACTGAACCCCACTGTGTCCCACTGCGCCCCATAGGATCCCACTGTGCCCCATAGGACCTCACTGTACCCCATTGGGTCCCACTGCGCCCCATAGGATCCCATTGTACCCCATAGACCCCCACTGTTCCCGCCGCGGCCCATTGGATCCCACTGTACCCCATTGAACCCCATTGGGTCCCACTGCGCCCCATAGGATCCCACTGTGCCCCATTGGGTCCCACTGTGCCCCATAGACCCCCACTGTTCCCGCTGTGCCCCATTGGATCCCACTGTACCCCATTGAACCCCATTGGGTCCCACTGCGCCCCATAGGATCCCACTGTGCCCCATTGGGTCCCGCTGTGCCCCATAGGAGCTCACTGTACCACATAGGATCCCACTGTGCCCCATAGACCCCCACTGCGCCCCATAGGATCCCACTGTACCCCATAGACCCCCACTGTTCCCGCCGTGCCCCATCGGATCCCACTGTGCCCCATAGGACCTCACTGTACCCCACTGAACCCCACTGTGTCCCACTGCGCCCCATAGGACCTCACTGTATCCCATTGGACCCCATTGGGTCCCATTGTGCCCCATAGGAGCTCACTGTACCCCACTGGATCCCACTGTGCCCCATAGGACCTCACTGTACCCCATTGGACCCCATTGGGTCCCATTGTGCCCCATTGGACCCCACTATGCCCCAATGTACCCCATTGAGTTTCATTAGACCCCACTGTGCCCCATTGGGTCCCACTGTGCCCCATAGGAGCTCACTGTACCCCATAGAACCCCATTGTTCCCGCCGTGCCCCATCGGATCCCACTGCGCCCCATAGGACCTCACTGTACCCCACTGTGTCCCACTGTGCCCCACTGGATCCCACTGTGCCCCATAGGACCTCACTGTACCCCATTGGGTCCCACTGCGCCCCATAGGACCTCACTGTGCCCCATAGACCCCCACTGAACCCCACTGCACCCCATA